CTCCGTCTGCACCTCCCTCTCGCTCCGGCCGCTTCATGACCTCCTGCATCCTCCCTCGAGAAGATCTGGAGATCCTCCTACTCCGCGCTGTCCTCTTCCACCTCCGCCGCCCGCCTGCCCTGCACCTCCTCCTCGCCGGTTTTTCCTCCCGGCCCTACGGCGCGCGTACAGTCGCCGCGACGCGGCTGGACCTGAAATCACGTTCTCGAGGTAGAAATTCTTTCTAGGTGAGAGAGACTCGCTGATCGACTCGCCGCGGCGAACCTGCCTCGATCGTCGCGGTTCCGAGTAACGCTCGCTTAAATTTCACAGTTGCTTCACTCTACGGTGAAATTCACGGGAACGTCAGGGGGAATCTAGTCGCTTTCGGGAACTGATTCGGGCACAGCCTGACAAAGCCGAGGAATCGATATAGCGAGCGGAAGCCGGATGGACGCGGTCCGCCGAAAATCAAGGCTCGACACGCGGGACTTTGAATGGAAACGCGCGATCGAGAAGATTTCGATTGCAGTCGTTTCAACGTTACCTTCTCGAACGCAGGGCCAGTGGATTTCTGAGATTGTTCCGGTTGAAACGAGTCGAGACACGAGGCGAATCGGACCAGTTTCGCCAGGGTAATCTAATTAACGAAATTAAAGGCTCGTTTCTACCGAATCGACGACAGTAGACCGATCTACGTCGTGTTTCGACTCGTTTCAATCGCAGAACTTTCAGCGATCCATCGGTACTATGTTCGAGAAGGTAAAGTTATGATCGCTTCTCCGTTGCACGTGTACGTGTATTCGACGCGTGCGGCGTCGCTCTCGAGTCCGGCGCCTCGATGCTGCGAACAGCGAGGGAAGAGTAGAGCTGGCGCTGTGGAATTTAGCCGAGCAGATTTCTGTGAAATTTAAACGAGCCTCACCGATCCAGTCCACCCTCGAGACCTTCCGTCGATCTTGCTTCCCTCTTTCCTCGCTCCTCGTCGAGGCAACGCACTGCTTCCAGTCTTGATCGTGCCGATTCATCCTCTCACCGGATCAATAGCGATAACAACCGGCTGAGGACACGCGAGGATTATAAACTGGCGTTCGCGGCCCAGTGAATTGTCCGCTGATGAACCATTGTCGGCTGCCGCTTGTCGGGATCCACGTTTAACGCTAGAACTGCCGAGTTCAATTGATCTGTTCAACCTTTCCCATGGGAGATAGAAAAATGCATTCCCGTTTGCTTGTTGCCTCAAACTAGCATTTGTCCTTTCGGCGATCGCGCAACGGGAGACCAGAAATGCTGGTCCCAGTGTTAAACTCCTTCCGCTGCTTAGTTTCGGCTGGGTCTGTCACCGGTGATCTCAATTTCGGGCGGAACGTCGCTGTTACCAGTCGTCTAAACCCCGTTAGTCACCTAGACCTCTCGCCAGAGGTCGTAATAAATAAATATAAAAATAAATATCAAGACAAGCATCACGAATGAAGTATGCCACGATCGAGTTGCTCGAAAGCGAATGCGATTAAGTGGATTTCTCGAGATTCCAGCAATCAACGAATGGAATAAATAATATTCTTTTCAGTTACCGAACGATTCACACTCGTCTCCTCGTTTCCCTAGAAAGCCCTTCTTCGCGTAGCTTCCGAATATCTAGTAGAACGATCTCGCAAGCCATTACATAAATCTTCTCAATGTTTTTCTGGACTCGGCCGCGTCGGCTTCCGAGCGACTCGATTGTGGCCCCGATTCTGACCCAGACGGTACAGCGGAGGGTTCGACAGCGAGGCCCAAACACCGGCCCAGACGATTTCCTGAAAGCACGGGGCTACTGCAAGCTCATCGGAAGATCACCGTTCCGGCTTCCTATCCACTTTCTCCTCTGCCGGCGCACCGCGGCGCTCCGCCGCGCTCCTCGCTCCTCTTCTTCCGCCGGTTTATATACCACGGCTATTTTCGGTTGGAATTCGACTCAAAGATTTTGCGGTGCGCGGCCGCGGCCGACGAAAGTCCGTCGATGATCGAGAACCGATACGCGGCGGATGGACCGACGCGTCGGTCGTGCCCGCGCAAGCAGCCGTGGAACGGCAGCGTTTATTGGGAATTACAAGTGCGCTCTGTCATCGACCTAAATGGACTCGCGATACCGCCGGGAAGAAAATGTCGGATGCCTCGGATACTTCCGACCGAATATTATCTCCTCGTGACGTGCTCGCCTCTGACGACGCTCCTCTAAAATCACAGGCTCCGAACCGTTCGGGACGTTCAGTCTTCCGAGCAGCTTTCCTCCTAAGACCGGACACCGATCTCCCACGTTCCCGGGACGTACACGCATGGCCACATACACACACGTTCGGGTAACACTCCCACACTTCCGTTTTATTGATACAACTATGTACAATTGTATGCAACATAACATTCATTGTTCCTCTGCTAACAGAATAGATAGATTTTATACTATACAACGTAGTAAGTAAGTAAGCATTGGTGGGATGCAAGAATTTTCATGTCTTCTCTGCTTAACCGAAGGACTCTTTTCCTCGAGGCGAACGACGTCCACTCGCTGACTACTGTCACAGCGAACAGTCGACTCTTTTCTTTCTCGTAAGGAGACACTGAAACTTTTGCATCGAACCAATAGTAGGTAACTCATTAACTCACGGTGACTTGTTTCTTTTTTCCCGAAGACAACGCGTGGGTATGATAGAGGAAGCATGCCGGTAATCGCACGTTAGTAGTTTAACCCAGCTAAATCGGTTTTCTATGCGTCGGCGTGAAGATGTCTGCGAACATCGCAGCGGCTGGAGGAGACTCTACGAAACAACTGGAACATCCGCAGGTTGGAATTACTATTTGGTTGAAGCCCCTCTATCGTTCCTCGTCCAGTAACGTCGCCAGCCGGTCGGGACTCGTCACGGGCAGGGAACACGCGCGACGTCGACAGACGTAAGCCGTCGCTTGTCCGTCCAACGGTTTCATCTTGTTCATGTGCTCGTTCTTGCGACACAACAGGCCGTCCGATTCCTCGGGGTCGGCCAGGATTAAGATCCTCCCGGGCACCAGACGGTCGTACACTACTCGCAGCAGGTCCTCGGTATCCTTTGCTCCCCGTTTCCCTGCTATGAAAATCTGCAAAGCAAGTCGCGCGTTTCTCAGAACTCAACCTCTACTACCAACCTGTCACTAAGCTAGCAAAACAATTTGGCTGTCACGTAATTTAATTTTAAGGAAACATTCTTTGAATGTTTAGGTATGAATGCTTAGGTCTCTTACCGATAGGTTTGTTAACCCTTTGCATTCGAGGGGTGACTCTCAGTCACTTTATTTGATACAGCGAAACCATCAAGTTGAATATTTAGTATTTTAAATGAAACTTTGTATTGCCATGCGAAACATTGAAGTAAAATCACTTTATTGCTTAATTTATCTGTGAATTATTGTCAAGTGGTATCTCGTTGGAAAACGTTGAATATTTCCAGTGAAAAGCAGAGTGCAAAGGGTTAATATATCTACCGAATAATATCAATAATAATGACTGATCCTTGGATAAACTTAAAACATTACCGGGAAGAAGTTCCCGGTAGACCGAGTAATCTCAACGATACCGATTTCACATTTGTCCAGGTTCTTGGTACGCATGCTCCTCTAACCCAGACTTAGCAGACGCTACCGAGTACAGATTCTAATCTCCGTTTTACCTGTGTCGCATCGTCGTGGTAGCGAACGAGCGCCGACACCAGTTGCGGGAGAGCGATGGGCCTCTGCATCAGCATGCGTCTGAACGCACCGAAAAGACGTACGGCTTTATCCTTGAGCTCCCCGCGATCCAAATAGTCTGCCAGCCTCAGTAAATTTTCGGCGGCAATCGAGTTGCCGGATGGTTCTGCTCCGTCGTGAACTGTACAGGATGGTTATAAATCTTTTGAAACACCTAGAGAGCGTATCCTTTTTTCTTCCATTCAAGATTCGATCTGATATCGTGGCCCCGCGGCGGCCCGAAACCGGCGCGGGTTGATAGACTTAATGGTAGGACGTAATGAAACACTAAGCAGACCGTGCTATAAATATTTGGACACGCTCGGCTTTACTAGAGAATGCGGGTTTCCTTGATTTCATAGCTCGACGTGGCCCACGACTGCCGCACGGCCGATACAGAACTAGGAGAATTTTAATCGTCGAGCTAAAATTATCTCTAAACTACTTAAGCGTACCCTCTTTCAGCCGCAGAATTACAGCGGGATCCGCGGACGTTGTTGAAAAATATCCGCCGTTCGCCTCGTCCCAGAACAGGCCGTCTTGAATGTCCTGTAACTTCTCCGCGAGCTCTAACCATTTCTCGTCCAAGCTAGCTTCGTACAGGTCGATCAGTCCTTTCACCACGAACGAGTAGTCGTCTAGGAAACCGGATATAGGGACATTCCTGAAAACCCAGCCGAATTCCAATCGAAACCGTACCGAAAAGATTTTGCTTTTCTTTTGTCTTCGTGGAAAATCTGGTACTCACGTTTGTACAATTTCACCGTTTTGGTCGCGGTAACAGCTGCGTAGCAACACACCTTTAGACTCGTCGAAAAGATACTTCTCGACGAACCTCGCAGCATCCGCCGCGTATTCGATGTACCGCTCGTTGCCTACGGCAGCTCCGCCGCGAGCGAAGCCACTTATCATTAAGCCTGAAGAAACGTTTGAATGTTTCTATTTGTATAGTTCTCAGTCGGATACGCTGATATTTAGAGTTACCATTCCATGCCGTGATTATTTTGTCATCTAAATGGGGTCGTGGCCGTGCCGATCTAGCTTTGTACAAAATGGAACACGCTTCTTTCAAATGTTTCTTTATCTCTTCAACTGTAAGGGAAAAGTGTTCGGCGGTTTCTTCGATAGGATTGTACACCATCAACACGTTCTTTCCTGTCAATTCTCCGTGGGGATCCTAAGTGAAGCTTCATTAAATACCAGGTGTACTAAATCTACTTAATAGTTTGAATATAATATAATATAATATAATATAATATAATATAATATAATATAATATAATATAATATAATATAATATAATATAATATAATATAATATAATATAATATAATATAATATAATATAATAGTTTGAACAGTTTGAATATATACTATTTGTATATTAACATACTTGATACTTCTTTACATTCCCTGATTCCTTCACGTTGAAATGACGACAGAAAATCTCTGACAGTTTAATGGCTTTATCATCGGAAAGCTCTTTATCTAAAATCGATTTAATCTCGTCCGCAGTCCAGACATAAAATGCACCCTCCCTTTTGGCAGATGCGCCGGGAGCAGGATATGAATCTGCATCTTCGGCACTGTAAAACCCACCTTCCTAAAACAGGTAACGTACACATTGAATTTTCCAATAAATAAAGAGTAGCAAATTTCTATGTGATTGGTAGGTGCGAATGAAAAAGAATGACCTTGTGTCGGAGATCCCTCGATACGTAAGTAGCAATATCATCGATGATTTCAGCAAAGAGAACATTTTTAGTTGCAAGGTATGCGTCGGCATAGGACTGCATTAATTGTCCTTGATCGTACAACATCTTTTCGAAATGTGGCACATGCCATTCACCATCTGTGGCATACCTTGAAAAACCCTGATCGAAGATGAACATTACAATATTTATAAACGTAGAATCTAAACTCTATTATGATAATTCATTCGAAGAGTATTCTGTTACATGTTTCACTCTGAAATTCTTACCTGACCTACGTGATCGTGAATACCACCATAAGACATTTTCGTTAAACTATAGACACACATATGTAAACATTGCTGAGCAAGTTCGTCCTTAGGTTGCCGCATATACATGTGAAATAGAAAATTGAAATTCACTGGCTGTGGAAATTTAGGTGACTGCATGCTATACACGGAACCGAATCCTCCGAATTTAGGTTCGAACTCACTTATGAGTTGCTGAACGCAGATCATGCTACATTCCATTGGCGGTGCATCCAACAACTGTATTAAAAAGATTGCTAAGCAATAGTGAAATCAATTCTATCAATAATAAACTGGTAACAAATAAATTTACACTTAATTATCTCACCCTTGATGTCTGTGCAATTTCAGAAATATTTTGTAGCGTTTCAAGATTAAGGGAACTGGACTTCATTATTTCAGTTTTAAGCTGCTTCCACTGAAAAGCACAGAAAATAGAAGAATAGGATTTTACCGCTTCACTTTACGTGTAACAGCAATTCGCATTATTTCAATGATTTTTATTACTTTTCAATAAGTAAATAAAATTTTACTCTCGTACCTTTTCTGCGATATATAATAAAATAGTCTTAAATCCGGTTTGTCCGTGTCTATCGTCTGGAGGAAAATATGTGCCTCCAATTATGGGCTTTAAATCAGGAGTAAGAAACACGCTCATCGGCCAACCACCATGACCAGTCGTACTCTATATTAAAAGATAATTCTTATGTTGTTTTTATATTCACAAAAACTTGTTAACAAATGATGTGTAGTTACCTGTATAAAAGTCATATATATTCTGTCAATGTCTGGTCTCTCTTCCCTGTCTACTTTGATATTAACAAAATTCTTATTCATAATCTCAGCAATGTTTTTGTTTACAAATGATTCTTTCTCCATAACGTGACACCAATGACACGTTGAATATCCAACTGACAAAAAAATTAATTTATTTTCCTTCTTAGCTTTCTTCAAAGCTTTCTCAGACCACGGATACCAATCGACTGGATTGGTAGCATGTTGCAACAAATAAGGTGACTTTTCCAAAGCGAGTCGATTCTTTGCTTCTTCTTGTTTGTTTTTTGATGTACTCGACGAAGCCATATTCATGGAAAATGGCAAACACGTCAATGATTTGTCACCTACCCTATGAAATTGTTTATTTACTTATTCTTACATTTAAGCGTCACGCGAATTTGGGAAATAGTTTCATGTTATGAGTACCGAATGTAAAATAGAAAGAAATCATTAATAAAAGTAAAATGATTGACACAACGTTGTAACAATGTTTTAAAATATTAAAAAAATCGTTATGTATACGTGATATATTACGTCTACATTATTGTGTTTATGTATAGTACACGTTTCGTTTGTCGTAAAAATATACGTACATATCTTAAAAACATTAACATACAACGTCCTTCTCTTCAATAAGTGATATTGTTAGCTAAATAGTATAAATTTATATTTATTCGTGCTACCTGATTGGTCGATGCGCATCAATTGATAAAGGAACACCTTGAAGTAAAT